AAGGATCATAACTTTCACCATAGAGAGGCTCAGGAAAATTAACTATATGACTTTGATAGGAAATAGAACAAGACCATCTTTACAATAAGTCTGTAGCGTCTACATGAACAGTTCATTAGAATGTCTAGAGCATTAATGTTGATTTTTTTAATTTCATGGTGTTATCGAAAATAAATAATTTCGATTTCAGAGTTAGAAAGAATATGTTTTGAAGAATTCTTATAAAAATTGAATTTTTCAAGGTTTTCGAAGCCTATTGGACCATAGTAAAAATCGTAAAAATCATGTAAAAGAATATCCATTGTTTTATTTAAACATAATTCTAGGAAAGGATATATATTTGCTTAAAAAGGAATTGTATCTGTAACCAGTACTTACAAGTTTTAATTTGGGTTTAATTTTGATAATGGAATTACATCAAACAGTTAAATGTTAATCAAGACCCCTCAAAATCCATATATGCGAATCTTGACCAAAAAACATGGTGTTTCTTTCTGCACGATCTCAAAGTTGAGTAAATATCGAGTTTAAAAGACACTAGGCGAGTTAAGAATGTGACAAGGAATTATGTCAACATGTGAATGTTGTTTCATATTAATTAGAAAACTTTTACATTTTTAAGGAGATATATTATAAGCTGCAACTGATTTTCCCTCCCACAATGACCTTGGAAAAGGGTCATTTTGCATACACTAAGGCTTTTTTCGCGAGCCGCGCTTGAATCGCCATATTTTGAAGGTGATTTCTTTACGTCTTCCGAGTGCAATTTCACTTTTCCGAGGAATTTTTTTTTTTTATTTTTCCAGGGTGTTTCAAATAATGTTATATTTACCATCCGGCGAGAAGAGCACCGCTCACGAAAGGTCAAGTCGACGAATGCCGACTAGCACCTTTCTAGTTAATACAGGGTGTACCGTCTATGTTTCAAAGAAACTTGTGAGCAAGTTCGTCATGTGAAAATAATGCGGGTAATTCATGTCTCATTTTTTTCTTAGACGTTCTGTTTTCGAGATACAGTGTGTTGGTTGTTACTTTCCAAATGGTTTTCTTTAATTATCTTTAAATCGGCTAAAGATAAAAATGTCAAAATTTGTACACGAATAAACATCAACTGTGCGTTAAGAATAATGTGCAAACGGTTTCTTTCTGAAAAGCTGTTTCACCGATACAGGTAATTGAAAATGTACAATCGAAAAAATATATATTAAGTCAAAATTTGTTACATTTGTAAACAGTGTTGTAAAGTTTAAAGCTTACTACAAAAAAGTTATACTTGTTGAAATTCGGTAGCATGTACAATTTTCGAGAACGCCTACGACTTCAGAAACGAATATATTTTAAATTCTTCAACCACGTGTGTTATACTAAATAGAGTAGGCTGAGAGATTGATAATCGCAGGCAAGACCGGAGTTGAAAGAACTATTTAGTTCCCAATTAATTGAGACAATCTTGAATTAAACAATCAAACTTTGTTTGTCTTCACGCCGAAAGAAAGGAAATAATCCCTGGTTGCAAAATCTTGCACAAGACACTTATACAAGACTGCTGTGTACCTACTGCTGAAATCAGCATCAGGTTTACTGCAAGATTCATTGTGCAATTGTCTTAATCAAAGCTTTCAATGGATTTGATTCAGGGCACTTGAGCACAAAGGGGTAAAAGCAAGTCACTATGTTGCAGACTTACATTAGAATTAAGTAGGACATATTGTACTTGACTTATACTAATTCACCCCTTTGGACTCAAGTACTTTTGGTTAAGTCTAGTATATTGTAAAAGTATCTTGCATAAGAAACGATATCAATTTCAGCAATAGACACAAAACAATCTGACACAATTTGGCTTTTCAAGTAAACTGGAAACAACTTGTATTAGAATTGCACACGATTGTGCTACCAGGGATATTGCTAAATACCTATAATCTGTAAGTTTTATATTGTTATATTTATAGTAAAGGACTATGCATTAATTACCTACATTAATAAGCAGTCCCGGTTACGAGTTATTTTTGGCCTTTAAAATAAAGTCGCGATCACAAAAACACCGGCAGATGGTTTGTTTGTCTGTGTTTGGTCACTTTTACTCCTTTTTTTAGCAGCATTTCAAACACATGTGTAGATGAAGTAAAAACCTAATGTGGATAGTGATGGAAGGATCGAGGTAGAGTGGGATTATGTTTGTAGGACCTATCATCCACAGAACCAGTCGATGGAGCAGATCAGAGAGGCATGTAACCCTTTTTAGGGTTGGTTCACGGCCCTTGCGATGGGGGGATATTGGGGTGCGGATGGCGTGACAATCGTGAGCTTTTTATCTCTTGAAAATGGGCGATGAAGTAGATGTGGCAGGTAGAACAGATTATACATGCATTTAATCTCTCTTCGGGGAGGTTTTAGCCGGTTTGGTTGAGGAGGTTAAGGGTGCGGGTGGGTACGTTCATAGGTTTTACCTTTACGTGCAAAAATGGCCAAAAACAATTCATCTTCCGGGGGTAATTAGTGTGTGGTCCTTTTATATTTCAAAGTTTTTACAATAAACAGATTTAACTATTAACGTTACAGTTTTATAGACAGTTAATTTCTACACTGAGAGAATTTCTTTGTTACGGTTAGTAAAAATCCATTAACCGTAGCAAAATATCTGCATTAAATAGGCGCCAAGTGAGTTGCCTTCCTACCACAAGAAAAACTGCTTTGCTGGAAGGAACTCACTTGCAGTAAGTAGACAGTTTTGCTGTAATTTCTTTGCTATCTCAAGTAAGTCAACTCATTAACCACAAACGACTCAACTCGTTAAACCCAAACGAGTGAACTCATTAACCCCAAGCGAGTCCTCATTAATCCTAAGCCAGTCGACTCATTAACCCCAAGCGAGTGAACTCCGTATTTACTATTTTTCGGTGTTGTTAGCTCTCCTCACTCTTTCGTACACCATGCAATGCAACTTAAATGTTGTCCATTCGAGAAGTAAGAGTTAGTTTGTATTCAGCCTGTGTGCATGTAATCACGTATGCATATAAGTATTATTGCATACCTACGCAAATATCCTAATTGAAAACTTTCTGTCGGTTGTTAGACAACTGAAAACTGACTCAACACTCGATCACAAAACATCTATTTATTATAAAGGACCCATCGACTAACGATTGACGAACGTATATCCAGTGCTTACGTGTTACAGCAAAATGGCGATACCTCTAACTTCTCTATGGACGAAACCATGGTCAGTATAAGGCACGCGTAATCGCGCATGCGCACTGAGCCGAATTCCGGTTTATTCTGGAAATTATGTGAGCCCTAATTTGCTACAAATAAGGACTGACTAACCCCAATTGGATCAATTCTAAAAAAGTACATTCACTTACCCGAGCAAAGCAAGTCACTTGGGACAGATAGACAGTCGACTAAAATAAAATTTCAACTGAACTATCATATAGCCACAAGACTTTTCTTTGTTGTGGTAGCAAACATGTTTCAGCAAAACGTATTTACTTGTGGCAGCATGAATTTTTTTCTGTGAGAGCAAAAATTTTACCTACTGTAGCTAAAATATATTAGCAAAGCCCCTCACTTGGTGGATTTCTTTCAGTGTAGTTAGTACCGGTTTTGATTTATGACAAACAAAATTTCACAATATTTTGGAAATACAGCTGGAACAGTGACTGCTTAAAAGCAAGAAGAAAAAGAGGATCATTAAAAAATTAAATTGATGTCCGCGGGATGTCAATCAATTTTGCGTTGACACAAAAATTGTACTTACTACTACTACCACTACTACTACTACAACTTACTACTGTACTAACGGTACAATAATTGTATAAATTGAAGTAAAAGTTGTAACGTTACTGGCCCGTTTAAATCAAATTCTAAATACGTCCACCATAAAATCATCGTAGTGGGAGAGCGATAGTCTCCGCTTCTAGCTGTAACGCCCGTGCACCCGACCTCGCAGCGATACCCGAGGAGTATACATAGAACGGACTTTTAACGAAGTTACAGTAACTATAAATAATTATTCTTAGGGTTCATTTAAATTATTTCGCATTCATTGACATTTTATTTGCTGTGTTAATGACTTGTACATCTATATATCGAGATTATATGCCGGTTGTATTTAAAATGCTATCAGATTATCTTGAGGTCAAAATATGTAAATTGTGTCAAATTGACTAAGGTATTTGACACAATGGTCACTAAGGCTTAATCCAAAGTTGCTTAATTTGAAAGTCACATGTTTAAGTTTTCTGAATGAAATTAGAGTTAGCAAGCAGCAAAGTAAAAATTTACTGAATTTGTACACGATTATGTCGATGGAGATAGCAGAAAACCCAAGGATTTCGACACCACTGTACAATTTAAAAATCCTGCAATTGCGTTTGATTCGCAATTGTAATAATTGAAAGAAACAAAAAGTCACTTTCGAAGTATTATTTTTTGTATGAAATCAGCTTACTACACCGTAGATTAAGTAGAAAATAACTCGAAAACTGTTTCACAGAGAACAATTATATTTCATTTTTGCTGCAAAAACAATTTTAAGAAAACATTGTCGCAGAAATTTTTTTGTGAGTGATATCAAGAGGTAAATTTTCGCGTGACTGAATATTCCGATCTTTTAATTATTTCATTGCATATAAAGTTGTATTTGCAATAAAGAACCCTATACATTTTCCTAAGAAGTCCATATTCATGGCAAATATTTTCAAATGAAGAACGTACTACTTAGTACACCATCATCTTTTTTATTAAAAGTTTGTAATTATTTTGTTTAATATCACATACTTTATCATCTAAAAAGATTCTAAATCAATTATTACAATTCTTTTGTATCACAATATTGAAAATCATGTAGGTACGTAAAAGTTGACAAAGGTTAAAATAAAATCGTTATAACTGGTTATTTATTAAAAAATTATAACATTCTGAACTAGGGAATCTTTATAACATTCTTGCTACTCAATGTATACTATATATTTACTATATTAATATATTTTTTATAGCATGGGGAAGTTGAATGTCGTCCTGTGGAATGTCCCGATGTACCATGCAAACATCCTGTTACTAAAAGTGGTGAATGTTGCCAAAGCTGCCTAAGTACGTATTTGAATGTCAAAAATCTGTTCAGAGTAGAAGTAGTTACCTGGTTTTTTATACAAGTTTCAGAGAGATTGTGATAACACTTGAAAGAAAGTTTGAGTTCGAAATAGATCATTTAGACCAACTTAGCTTTAGTCAACATATAGCTATGTGAACGTGGTTCTCCGAAGTTATAGATTTTTTCAATACAACTAAAAGATTCGTAAAAATTAATGTTATTATCTAGAATTTCAACCTTCTTAGCTTGTACTTGTATTGCCACAACTTTTTGGATATACATTTATAGTTTTTAATTTAGTTGTTAAAATTAATATTTATTTTAAATTTTTTGCATTCACTTTCGCAAACATATATTTAATATTTTTTTCTTAAAATGCACTCACAAGCAGAGTAAAAAGTAAGACAAATATGTATCCTTACGATTCGTTCTTGGGTCATGTGGGTCTTAAATACGGAATAATGTCTGTCCGCCATTGCCTACAATTATTTAGTTCAGATGCATTTCAATTGATACCTCCAGATCTTACCGTACTCCTAGGCACTGAGCTGTCACGATCTCTTCTTGCTAAAGTATCTTTCGCTCTCTCTTTGTTCTACTAATCTTAGATCCGGGAGCCCGTGGCAGTTTGAGGGTAGTTATTTTACCAAGGTTGATTTTCACACATATGTGAGGTCATAAGTACATAAACCAAACCAAACAATTTCATTTTTGCAAAAAACCTTCACGTTTTTAATCTACCAAAGCTTAAATTTCACAAAACGATAAGTATGTGTATAATATTAACGAAAATAATAATCAGCTGGCTTATGTGAGGGGGAAAACTCTTCAGGTGACCGTGAAAGGCTCAAAAACTCACGGCCCGTTACCTGCCTGAATAAAAGTGAATGACCTCAGCTGAAGGCTATTTCCCCAACGCATGCTCACCTGAAGCTGGTTTTTATAATATACATGTTCGATACTATCATCAAAATCAATTTCACGTTTGGTACCTACTAAAAAAATTTTAATATGATTTTCATACCTATTTATACGCGTAGTTGATCGGCGTTTTTTCAGCTGAACGTGACTTTTTATCATTTATTGTTACAAACAAAGTATACAAACAATTTCAGCTTTGGCACTATTAATTTTTTTGACATTTTTCAACGCAGAGGTGTCCCTATTACTCCCACCTCCTCCCGAAGAGCGGCAGCTAAAGGTCGTTTTGCTTATGTACCATAAAAGACCATTAAAGATCCATTACATATGGATGAAAATCTACCTTGGTACTATTGGTCACTAAAATGCCCCGCGGGCTCTCGGACTATTATAAATGAGTCAAGTTCATTGTTTATTCAGTTATTGGCCAGAGGTAATACGTAGCTCATAACTTTCAGATTATTATTTATTTCTGCTGTCATTCACGCGATATTTTAGTAAAAACCCAAACCATTAGACACAAAAGTAATCTGGTTCGGTCCTCTGGGTTCTTTTTCGGAAAAGAAATATTAGATTTGGTCTGGGCAACCCAGTATTTTAGACCATATCATTAAGACTCTCCTGAAAAGACATACAAAACTCAACATCATAAGATAGATAACACAATTATTGAACTATCACTTTAGAATTGTAGTTAATTGTGTGTTAAAGGAAAATTAAATATAAACGCAGACGCATTATCTAGAATTAGGGACTAATTAGATTCAGAATCTATGCAAATAAAGTAAAACAGAAACAAATTTAGAAATACCCATTATGACGAAATAAATAGAATTCTTATTTCACCCAAAAATGTTGCTGTATACAGAAACAGAAATGTTCACTATTCTCTCAAACAGAGAGAGTAAACCCTATTTCAATTTTAGACGATACCAAAATAAATAATTATAAAAAACTGTTCTCATGAATACGCAAAGAAAAAAATGTTGTAACATTGATAATAAATGCGGAAATAACTAAAGATAATGAAAAACAAACACGCTTGTGAGAGAATATACAACAGAGATATTTTATATGCACTTTGATAAAGATGAAATCTGTCAAAATTTTTGCAAAGTATAAGAAAGATATTTTGTTAATAATTGACCCAAATTAGTCAGATGTACTCAGCAAAATAATATTACAACAAAAATACTATTGGACATGTTAATAACCATCCAAAAATATATCAACAATTAATTATTGTAATGTATGTCAAAAAGGAACCCTTTGAAGTTATATACTCCACATATACTAGGTTCACATTAGATTAAAAAAATACTTAACCCTAACTTCTATTATATGCATGTGATGTGGTAAGAGCTCTAAGAAAATATTATGAAGGTTATGGAACATGTTCAGCGATAACACATAATGGAAAAGAGTTACTAGCCTTGCACAAAATTGACATTCATTTTACCACGTCTTTCCATACAGAAATAAATGAAACAGAAGAAAGATTGCATCCTATAATAGCAAAAAAAAGTTCTGTATCAAGGACATGAGTACATATATTTTGCGTAATTTTTTAGTAAAACGCTAAACTATCCCCTAAAATATAATGAAATAGTGAGATAAGGTAAAGTTTTATAATGAAAGTAACAATTTTTTAATACTTTTAGGAAACATTTTAAGATAATATTTTGAACGTTGGAAAGAAATATATGCAAATTAAATTCAGACCACCTACACACTTTGTACTCCCCCTAAACCTATTAGTTCAGGTTTACAATAATTATCAATAAATAGGTGTGGGTACAGAAAAAACTGATACGTAACAGACTATAATATTTATTAGTTAACACCAATGACACATGACATCAATAGCTGGACGTCTTATAAACGACTAACTCTACTAACCCTGCGGTGGCGCTCAGCGTCTCCAAACGGGAATGGGAAATTCGGTATTGACACAGCAACAGATGGCTGACCTTAGGGCCTTAAATCGTGTTCTTCAGGCAGTATCTAGGGCACAGCGGGCTGGCGACGAGGGGAATACTGTGAACTCCGCAGTGACCACCTCTTAAGCTTTCCCGGAGGATCTCGATTGTCAGCAATCTCCTGGAGAAGCTACACAGCAGCTGATTCCTCCAGGCTCCTGATTTTTCACCTCTCTTCCGTCAATCTCTTGACTTTTCTCCCTTTCCGTCAATCTCCCCGCCTTCTCTCTATCGTTTTTCCCTTGCTCGCGCACTTCACACCACCCCTTAATAGCTACAACTAATCTATTTACAACTACAATCTAATTTACAACTAAGCATGGGGTATTGCGACGGGCGCATTACAACTTGGATTTAAGAATTTCCGAATTAAATCTTTATATTCGTGATTAGCGGCTTTGAAAACCACCCAGTAACAAGTGATAATCTTCAAATTTTGAATACTTTTCACCGATCTTTACATCTGCCATATTAGATCCGCTAACTTTTATTCAGGAGTTTTCGGATTCGGACTTCAGATTCATAATCAGCGACCCCAAAAACCCGCGGTAACAAAATTAAGACAAAAATATGAAATAGAAAAATGCGTGACTTAAAAGCGTAAAAGGGGTTCTAGTCTGTAGGTGGTTTCCAATCTTTTTAGGGATAAGTTATATTATATTTTTTTAATATGTTATCTATCAATCTATTTATATGCTTGATAGTATAAAATACAATGCTATGCTTTTCCACATTCTTTTACAGCAACATTCGTTACTTGATCTTAGGATTTAATTTGTATATGTTTCTTTTTAATGCTCAAAATATTATTTTAAAATGTTTTCTCCAAGTATTTACAAATTTACATTTCATTATAAAGCTTTACATTATCCTCACTATTTCACCCTATTTTGGGAATGTTTTAACATTTTACTAAAAAATGACATGGTAAGTTGGTGTTTGGGTTGCGGATTCGGATTCAACATAAAAAACACACAAAATGTATGTACTCATGTTCTTTGGGCACTACTATATTTTTTTTCAACAATGAAGCTTGTAAAGCGATTTCGCGTAGTCAAACTGGTCACAATTTTAAAAATTTGTAGTATAAGCTGTGTAACTGTAATGTAAGATGTATAAGTAAGATATTGTGGAGTAGTTAATTTGTCACAAAATCATAAATATCAAATAAACAATATATGCCTAAAAAAAGAGTTCAATCCACTTCGAGAAATGAATTTTTATGCTACCAATTTTGCTTGTAAGGAGTCATAGTGGACTTCTTTCAAGATAATCATTATTAGATTTATCTGAGGCTGCTACCCCTTTTCATTCCAAATAAAGGCTGGGAAGGGGGTTTAGCGTATATGGTCAAATTGTCAATAACTTTATCAATTTTCTGTAAAATGTGGTCGTGTCAACAATGAATCGTTTTCAAATTAGGCTAATCAATAGAGGTTGTTTGTGACAAAAATACTAGGATCAAAAGGAATGTGCCATCATATAAAAGACAGTCTTTTATATATAGAATATGCTTATATATTTCCTACTCCAATTTACCATTAATTAATTTTTTATAAACATTTTTATCCAAAAAAAACAATTTTCAGTTTTTTGCTTATAAAACAATGAAGCAATCTGAATGCTATATAGAGAATTTGTAGACTCGAAATACGAATAAAACGAGAGGTCAATCGATCTGATTGGATAATTAGAAACAAAGAAAACCCGGAAAAGAGAAATAGTGAATTATATGTACTTTAAGTGTGCATAAAGCAGGCGCTATCGGACCATTAGTTTTGGCACAATTGCAATTTAAATTTTTTGGTGCACTATTTCGCAAATTTTCTGGATACGTTGAAAGTGATCCGATTTTAATTTTTCAGCCGCATTTTAAAAGTAGAAGTATAATACTACAAAACGTATGTTCTAATTTTCCGATAAAATGATGCGAAATATGTGAAAAGTTCCTCCAAACATGCTCCAAAACGGTTTAGCGCGTGTACGCGGTCGAGTAGTGGGGGGGGGGTGATCGAAAGATCTCTTGCTGCTTCTTTGCGATGAATTATTTTTGCGTCAGGACATCGGCAGAAGTGTTTACATTATCCGTAGACTGGTTA